CTGAGCCCTGCCCGTCATACCCCAACCAGCCTCCAGCAGGCAGAAGGGACACCCCCCCCGTCCCTCTGCCCCTCGCCCCCGTGCTGTGGGGGGCTGGACGGAGCAGTGATGCCAATAAAGGGGATAGCATTGGCACTGCCCAGGCAAGACCTCCTTGCAGGTGGTGCTGGGCCAGGGGAGAGGTGAGTGGCACCGGGTCAGATGCCAGCCTGGGGACGGTCCTTGCAGGAGGTGCACAGGCAGCAGGGCTGGTCCCCAAACAGGTCAACCCCCTCTCCAGGAGCCTGGAGGGGCTGAGAGAGACTCTCACCCGGGCCAGCCCTTGCTGAGTGCCAGAAGAGGATGCAGGCAGCTGCCTAGGACATTTCACCCGCCCTCACCAGCCCAGCAGCAGGGACAGGACCCTCTGCACAGCCCCCCCTCACTCAGCATGTGGCCCCCTCCCCACGCCTCGACCCAGCCCCTCTAATGGCTTCCATGTGTTGGCACCTCCCGACCCCGGTGCTCAGCGCCAGCAGCCCGATGAGATCCAGATGGGGCTGGGTGGAAATTCAGGCAGCGGCGGCGCGGGGAGCGTGGGGAGCAGAGCCAGCGCAGGGTGGGACCCTGCGCCCGCCCTGCCGGGGAGATGTGTCACTCCCAGCTGGGCCCCAGGGCTTCCCTTGAACCCGGGGTGCAGAGGGAGCCTGGAGGAGGGGGGAACCTCCCAAAAGGGTCCTCGTGGGAACTGGGTTGGAGGGGACCGGGACAGGGCTGTGCCTTTTGCAATGGCATGTGTGCCCATGGACCCTTCTGCCCTCGCTGGGTGCCCCCGCCCAAAAAACCCCCGCGCTCCCACCCTGGTTGCGGGGGCATGGCGGCTGCCTGTGCCGGTGCTTCGCTTTCCAGGGTCCCAGCCCCTCGCTGCCCCTGGTGAGCACAGTCACACTGGATGGGGAGATGGGGGTCAGCCCTCCATCTATGGTGTGCTACTGGAAGGGCACCATCCTTGGACGGGAGCAGGGCTCTCCATGGAGCAAGTAAGGCAGGTCACCAAGCTGGGGAGGTATAAGGGGACAGATCCTGCCTGGGCTTCTGATCCCAACAGCCACATCCCTTCTCCCAGGTGCATCCCAGAACTTGCCAGCTCCAGCTGTGTCATGCTGCCCTCACCTGCTGGACTCTGGTCCCCGGCATCCAACCCAGCCAGCACCCTTTCTGATGTGTCACAGTCACCCTTGTCTCCCCTCGGTCCCCAGCATGGCATGGGCAGCCCTTTCGTCTTGGAAACCTGCTCTTATCGCCACCAGATCCCACTCCTCTGCCACTATGGAGGGGATCAGGGCTGTGGTTGTCCATAGGGTGCTGTTGAACACGGGTGATGTCTGTCTCATAGCTGTGGCTCCAGCATTTGCAAACTGAGCTTAGTGTGTTTCCTGGCACCTGGTGCTGCTTTAGAGGCTGACGCCTGCTTGAGATGCAGGAGCGCAACAGCCAGAAAATGGGAGAGAATGTGCGCAGGCGGCTCTGGCCCCCGTATCCTGCCTGCTTATAAACTCCAGAAAGTCCAGGCATGCTCCAAACAGAAGGGGGTTGCTGCTGGCGGGGGGAGCAGAGACCACCAGAGCCTTGCACATGGGAATGTGTGCCTGCATTGTGCAGGCAAGCTCAGGTGGGCAGATGAGAAATGACAGGCAGAGGGGACCCATAGCTGTGCTGTCCCCATGTGCCAAGCCCTGTGTCCCCTTCCTTAGCTGGGGCTTGCCTGGCCGGGCGGTGAGGACACGCAGTTCTGGTGACTAGGGCAGCTTGAGGGCAGAGGATGCACATCTGTTCCTCATCACTGCATCCTGCTGCCCTTGGCCCTGGAGGGTGACCCCTTTGCTCTCTGATGGAAGCTTTAGAGACGGGACCTGCCACCCATTTGGCAGCCGGAGATACCCAGAGCAGGCGAAGGGTCTGCACGCCACCGTGAAGTCCTGCCTGCCCACACTGCGGCTGCCTGCTCGGATGCCCCATGGCTCAGCTCCCTGCCCCAGCAGCCTGTAAATGTGACACATGGGCATCGGTGACCCCAAGGAAGCAGCAAGTTCAGTGCTTAGGGGGCTAAAGATGCTCGGTGCTGGGAGGTGGACTCCCAGCTGCCCTGGGGGAGAATGCCCTGGCACTGGACGTGGGTGAACAGGGCTTTCCACTGGACCAGTGAAGATGCAAGGGGAGGGCTGGGGCGAACAGCAATCTGGGATAAAGGAGAGGGCTCCAGATGCCAAAGTCAACTTTGCCTCCAAGCCGTGGAGAAGAAAAACAGGAAGGGACCATGAGAGCAGTCCCAGCACCGGCACCTCCCTGTCCCACTGCGGGGCCAGGGCACTTCCTCCAGGGCTCAGGCTCTTCGGTGGCTCGCTGGGCGAGCAGGAGGCTTCCTGCTGCAGGCTGGAGCCCTGCCTGGACGCACTCTGCCTGGAGTAGGCAGCGGCACTTCCAAACTTGCTTTGCTGCTGTATCCCACCCTCCCCAGGACGGATGCTGTGCCAAGATCACTGGGGGAGCTGGTACAAGGCAGGCTTGGGGATGCTGAGGCTGTGCCAGGTCAAAGCAGCCTGTGGGCTGCATCCACGAGGAGCAGGGATGGGTCCAGCTCCCTGGCATGGGACAGGGATCAGCCCAAGTCCAGCAGGAGAAAAGTGCAGGAGAACATGGCCCAGGTCCTGCTGGGGGCACAAAATTTCCAGCAGGCAATGCCACATGCCAGGGAAGGTCCCCAGCACTGAGGTGCAGAAAGGCTCATGTCCGCGCCCCGTGTCTCCATCCTGTGCAGGGTGGCCCCATCCAGAGCATCTTTCAGGCAGGGGCTGGGGTGCACCAGCCACCCAGCTGTGCGCAGGGCTCGTTTGGGAAAGCAATAGCCTGGGCCAAAGCCATTGTGGTGGGGCACCGGTTGTGGACAGTTGTGCAGCGGTGCCTGGGCTGCTTGACTGCCGTAGACCCTGCCAAATACGTGGGCTGGCCCTGCCTCCCTGCCAGGATCAGCCCACATTTTGCAGGGGAGGAGGCGGCTTGCACAGGACTGTGAAGCAAAACAGTTTCTACTTACCTCTCATGGCTGCTCCTGCTTCCTTCTCTGCCATGTCCTGAGCCAAGGAAAGAAGTAAAAGCAGCCCTGGCAGACCATGGAAGCCATAGGGGCATGAAACATATATGTCACGAGGCAGGGGAGAAAGGAAAGGGTACGCCCCATACCAGGGGCATATGGTCAGTGATTCAGCAGGGAGGGAAGGATGCGTGAATGAGGGAAGGAGCCATGCAGATGTATAGATGGATGCCTGAATTGGTTGACAGAGGGAGGAAGGAATGGATATATGGGTAGATGCATGGATGAATGGACAGATAGGCAGTTTGGACACCCAAATACCATCCTAAGCATCAAAGACGCTCATTATGCAGGGGCTGACTTGTGAAGATGGCTGGGAGGCCAAGTGCGTAAGGCTGGCAAAGGGAGGCCCATGGGCAGAGTCCCAGGTGTGACCCATGCACCCAGGCCCCATGGAAGTGGTATCACAGCTGACATGAGGAAACAAGAGTCTAAATTGTTACCAGTGCAGGTCACAAGAGTGCCAGGGGAGAGCATGGGGCATCTCCAGAGGGATTGCATCCACCTCAGGAGCTACTTCCATCTCACGCTGTCCAGGCACTGGGAGTGGAGGAGCAGCAGGGACCTTGCCCCAGGGACACAGCGAATCCAAACACAGATGCTTTAAAAACCCAGTGCTGAGCATTCACCCTGGCCATAGCTTTCATCTCGCCTGCACGTGGGATATCTCTGCCTGGGGTCTTGCTAGAGGGTCCAAGTGCCCAGCCTGCTGGAGGCCCCTGAGATCGCCCGTACTCCCTCTTCTTCATCTGCCTCCCTTTCTAGCTGCCACAAGCCTGCAAACTCCTTGCCCATCATCAGCTCTTTCCTGAAAGAGAGAAGGGGAGACAACACCTGCCAGACCAGATATGCTGGCACCCAAACAGGTGTGGAGAGGGTGCAGGCCTGAGACATCTCTTCTTGCTGCCCCATTGTAGGCTTCTCCTTGCAGGAACGGGTTGTTTCTTTCTTTGCTTGCTGGGGCTGGCCCCCTCCCTGCCTCCAGGATGCTTTTGGTCTTTTGTGGCCAGGAAACACCAAACGTGGCTGCAGAGATGCTGGGAGGCTAAAGCCAGGAGTTTAGCTGTACCCAAGCACTGCTGCTCATGATGCTCCCTCCTCAAGGCAGCAGCAGCTCTCCAGACTAGCTCACTGAGCCCAGGACTTTCCTGCCAGCTTTTTTTGCACTGCGAACAGTCCTGCTGTCCAAGCCAGAGTCCCCCAGAAACTCCATCTTCTCCTCGGCTGGCAAAGGGAGGCCCATGGGCAGAGTCCCAGGTGTGACCCATGCACCCAGGCCCCATGGAAGTGGTATCACAGCTGACATGAGGAAACAAGAGTCTAAATTGTTACCAGTGCAGGTCACAAGAGTGTCAGGGGAGAGCGTGGGGCATCTCCAGAGGGATTGCATCCACCTCAGGAGCTACTTCCATCTCACGCTGTCCAGGCACTGGGAGTGGAGGAGCAGCAGGGACCTTGCCCCAGGGACACAGCGAATCCAAACACAGATGCTTTAAAAACCCAGTGCTGAGCATTCACCCTGGCCATAGCTTTCATCTCGCCTGCACGTGGGATATCTCTGCCTGGGGTCTTGCTAGAGGGTCCAAGTGCCCAGCCTGCTGGAGGCCCCTGAGATCGCCCGTACTCCCTCTTCTTCATCTGCCTCCCTTTCTAGCTGCCACAAGCCTGCAAACTCCTTGCCCATCATCAGCTCTTTCCTGAAAGAGAGAAGGGGAGACAACACCTGCCAGACCAGATATGCTGGCACCCAAACAGGTGTGGAGAGGGTGCAGGCCTGAGACATCTCTTCTTGCTGCCCCATTGTAGGCTTCTCCTTGCAGGAACGGGTTGTTTCTTTCTTTGCTTGCTGGGGCTGGCCCCCTCCCTGCCTCCAGGATGCTTTTGGTCTTTTGTGGCCAGGAAACACCAAACGTGGCTGCAGAGATGCTGGGAGGCTAAAGCCAGGAGTTTAGCTGTACCCAAGCACTGCTGCTCATGATGCTCCCTCCTCAAGGCAGCAGCAGCTCTCCAGACTAGCTCACTGAGCCCAGGACTTTCCTGCCAGCTTTTTTTGCACTGCGAACAGTCCTGCTGTCCAAGCCAGAGTCCCCAGTGTTTCGTGTGCCTGCCATGAAGTGTGGTGGTACTGGAGGACACGTGCCGTCATCTCTCTTTCTACAGCAGTGCCCGCTGTGTATTCCCCGTGCACACATCTCTTCTGCTGTGCAGCGTGAGGACCACATCTCCTTGATGCTGCCATGTCACTTGCTCAGAGGAGATGATCTCCTCCCTTCCCTGTGGCAGAAACTCCATCTTCTCCTCCAGAAACTCCATCTTCTCCTCCAGCTGCCTCCAGAGCTGCAGGGACTGAAACAGCAGGAGACATTTTGGGAGCTGCCCTGGGGGAGGGACGGGCAGCCTCCTTACCTGCTCTCCTCCCACCAGCTGCACCTTGTAGTCCCCTACGTCTACTGCCACAGCAGCTGCTTCGTCTGCAGAGGCAGACCAAGCAAAGAGAGGTTATGGAGAGCATGGCCCAGCCCTATGCAGGAGCTCCTCAACCAGCTGAGGGACTCCAGTGCTCCCTGGATTTCCAGGACTGCACGGAGCAGGCACTGGGCAGATGGAGAGTGCTGTACAGCAGGGCCTATCTCTGCATCCTGAAAATGATGGGCCAGAGTTAAATCTGACTGAGTCTCACGTGGCTTTGCAGGGTTACAGCACACAGGGCCCCCCCAGCATGCAAGCAACCCCCAGCCTTTGCTCCACGCTGGGATATCAACCAGGCTTGGCAGCAGTTGAGCTCCACATACACGCTGGGCACTGACATAAGTCACCTCTGCGCTGGGCAGCTCTGGAGGTGGTAAGGTGCTAAAAGTGCCAGCTCCATGTCTACACCTGGGATCTCCTGAAGTATGCTGACTGATCCCCGGGAAGATCTGCTGACCTGGAAGGCACTGATCCCCAGGGGAATGATGACCTGGGAAGCACCGATCATCAGGAGGATGCTGACCTGGAAGGGCCCTGATTGCCAGGGGGATGCTGGGGATGCCAACCTGGAAGGCACCAATCCCCAGGGGAATGCTGACCTGGAAGGCATGGTGCTTTCTCCCCTACTCCAGAGCACTTCTTTCAGCTCCCCACTTATGCTGGGCACCAGCTCAGTCAGTGACCACTCCAAGGGCTGTAAAGGGCCCGGTGAGCTGCCTGCGGGAAGCTGAGCCAGCACCACCTCTCCCAGTTTCCCTCCTCCGCAGAGCTCCCTGCCGGGGCTGGGAGCTGCTGCCCGGCTATGGGCCAGGGCAAGCCTCGCCCCCAGCTCCTGCCAAAACAACCCCAAGACCCATCCTTCTGCAAGCAAGAGGGATGCCCAGACCCTATTTTCCCACTAGATGGCAAACATTGCTTTCAAAACAGCCTTGCGAGGCGTTCTGTGCCTTCCCTGGGAGGCTGAGAAAACCCTTTCTCAGGGCAAAGCCCTGGGAATGAAGGGCCTGATGCTGGTCAGGAGTGGGGCTGGGGGTGGCAGGGACCCCTGGTGTGCTCCTCATCTTGTTTTTTCTGTCATTTCCTAAATTGTTTTCCTTTCCCACCCACTTGGTTTCTCCCCAGTCCTGGAAGACCCATCCCTCGCTGTGTGCTGGTGGGGCTGAGCACCCCAAGCATGCAGGGGGGGCATCTAGTTAACCCTGGGTAGGACCTCGAACTTCCACAGCCACAAAGTGAAACCCAGAAGCTTTGCTGGGAATTAATTATGCTGTAGTTTGCAAGCCAAATGTGTGTTCATTCCTCCTTGCAAGTTCCCAGGTCCACAGGCAAGGCATTATGCTGGGCATAAATAAAGGAGGCAGGGATGAAGGCTGTGCAGGTGGATGTGCATACTTGTCTAAGATGCCAGCTCAGATGTATTTCCAGGCTTGTGTGCATTTGTTTGAACTCAGCCCCAGATTTTCTCATGGTCTCTGCATTAACTTCGTGCAGAAGTTTTCTGAGTGTTTGCTGCTGGCTCTGACACCACTGCAATATTGCTGTGTGGTTAAACATGATGTGTCAAAGCTAATGAAGGAGCTAACTGTGGATGGTAAATGTTTAGTACGGACAAATCAAGCCAATTAGACAATGTTGAGAGAGAAGTGTGTCATCTCAGCTGTGTCTGTCCTGTGTGGAGGAGAGGGTCTGTGGAAGGGTATAATCCCAGGACTATGGGATTAGCAGCTCCCAGCACCAGCCGAAGGTAAAGACTCTCAACGCAGATATTCCTGCAGACCCCCCAGACCATCATGTAGGTATCTTCACCTAAGGGAAGAAGACAGTCTCTTAAGAGGAGGATTTTGTTTCTGAAACAAAGACCTCTGGGTAGCTAGAGGGGATGGCAGCCGTCTCCAGTGCAGAGCTGCAGAACGAGAAGAAGTAAATCATCCCACTCAAAGCACTCCTTGGAGTCCACCAACAGGACTCTTGGACATTCAACAGCGTGCCGCCTGCTTTTGTGGCAAACCTGGGGCTCCAGAGCTCAGCAGTGCTTGGACAGGAGCACCAGGGAACCCCAACGGCCGGGTTCCCAACAGCAGACCCCCCCGAGCGTTAACGAGCTAATGGCAGCAGCTGTATTTCCTCCACAAAGTGCTCGCGAGCCCTGCTCCTGGCAGCATCCTCTGCTCTTGCTGCTTCCAATGTTTCCCGCCCAGGGACGTTTGGCATCATTTACACTTTGGTGAGAAGGGTCCTTCAGGCCTCCTGGCCACTTCCTTCAGGAAGGGATTATTGCCTCTTCCTCCATGAGGGCTGGGAAGTCCCTCTCGGGGCTATTTAGAGTCAAAGAGAAAAATGTAAAAAATTAAAGGAAGAGGGTGACTGGGGAACAGAAACCGAGGGAGCTGTCGGGAGCCGGTCTGCAGTGTGTGGCTCAGGGCAGCAAGCCACCAACCCATCATGACAACCACCGAACCACGAGCAGAGCAGGTAGAAAGCCCTTCTGGCCCTCTCCAGCATAGCTGGGCTCCCTGCCAGCCCTTGTGTTGGCATGTGCTGATGCCTGGGGATGTGGGATCAGGGCAGAAGCAGTGACAACATGAATGGCGTGGGCTCTGGTGCATCCCTGTGGCTTGAGGCTTCCCCATCCCTTTGCCTCACAGCCTCCGAAGGCAGCAGAGCAGCAGTTCTGCACAGATGTGGCTGCATCGCTCTTGAGGGTGGGATTTGCAGGTCCAGGAGAGTTTGACCCTCACTCCTAACCCAAGGACACCAAGGGATACACAAGTCCCCTTGCCTGAGGATGTCACATCTTTGCCTTGATGCATGCCTGAGTCCAGCTTTCCAGTCCAGGTCCTGGGAGTGGTTCTGGCCCTTCCCTGTAGGCTCAAGGTTCTGTGTTTTTCATCCTGAGTGGTTTTCACCAAGCAAATGCTTCCTGGCTCTGCGTGGCATCTCTAAACGGTGACAGGCTGCCATGGGCAGCAGGCACCCCCTCACCCTCCGGCCTTGCTTTTCCCCCTGTCTCAGATCCCTGGAGGCTGGAGCCTGCTTTCACGTGGGTGCCGAGTGGTCCCAAGCTAACCAGCAAGCCAGGGGCTCTGGAGCAAACTGGGAACCATGTTCCCTCCTGCCTGCAGTAGGGTGACACCATCCACATCCCTTACCTGCTGCTGCCAGACGAGAACATCCTCTAAGCACGAAGCAGCCAATGCTTCAGAAACGCTGGTGGAGCTGCACCGAGCTACTCTGGGTAAGTTCCTGCACCTCTCTCCCCGTGGCCTTTCACGGGGTCTTGGCTACGTGCATGGTGTGGGGCAGTGGTGGCAGAGGCAAAGGAGCAGTGCTGGGGCTGCTGGGGGGCTGTGGGGCTCTGCATCCGCTTTGTGCCGGTTCAGATCCCCCAGCAGGTGATGGATGAGAGGCATTAGCAAGCAAGGTAGCTGAGGAGGCTGGGGAAATGCATTTGCTGTGTGCAGAGCTGAGGGATGAGCCTCTCCAGACCCATCTGACCTTGCTCTCCAGGGGGGTAAAGGCAATAACCGACCATGACACACTGAGAGCCCCAGCAGAAGCATCGTGCAGAAACCAACACCCAGGACTACACAGGGACCTTCCAGCTGCGCTAGGAAATCAGCTCTGCTGGGGGCTGCTTTTTTGTCCCTGGGCCAACAGGCATGTGAGAGCCAGCCTCCACCCTATTAAACTCTCTTCACCCTCCTTGGCTGCACCCTAATTGCCTGTTGGGAGTGATGCCCGCCCTTGGGGTCAACTGCCTAGGCTAGTTGACCTGGGCCAAAACCTGCCAGGAGCGATGCTGAGGGTGTTCCAGCACAAGGGGACATTTGCTTCGTTCACAGCCCTGATGCCCTGCAGTGGGCACCGCTACATCTTCAGGGGGCACTGGGACAGTCAAGAAGTTCAGACTCCTGCCTGTAGCGTGGCTGAAGATGACTGCTGAGTTAAGGGGCCCATTGGGAGGATAAATGGAAGGAAATGCAGTACAATTTGTGTGCCACCATTGCCGGGATGGCAGCGTGCTGCGGCCCAACAGGAGGGGAACCCAGCAGAGGCCGAAGCCTCAGAGTGGAGGAAAGACAAAGGAGTTGGTGTTGTTGGTGGCTCAGATCCTGCAGCGGGTTAGCGGGCTCTGCTTCCTGTGGGATTTTAGCTGTTTGCTTATCCCTCTTGCATAAGCACGTTGGCTCTGCTCCAGGGCCAAGTTCTGCAGCCGATAACCTCTTTCTCTACCCTTTTGCACCACAATCCTTTAAATGCAGCAGTTCCTAAGCTATGGCCTGAGGATCCATGGTAAAGACCTGACAGGTGATCTGCCAGACCTGTTTCACTTCTATAGTGCTCCCTGCTCTGCAGGGCTGGAAACCCATAAGAAACTTAAGGACTGACCAGGGTCTGGAGCCCAGAAGAAGGGTACCGGTGCTTGAAGGGTCATGCTTTCATTTCCTTCTGAAGGCAGCCACTTTGAAGAAAAAAACCCAGAAATGTTCTGCCGCCTTTGCTGGGGCAGTGGCTGCAAAGGGAAGTGCAAGTTCCCTTTGCACAGGCTCCAGCACAGCCCACGGCAACCACTATTGTGATTTCCCTGGTATAACAATCCCCATACCCTTCCTCAAAGCACAGCCGGGATCCGGAAAGTAAGAAAAGGCAAAAAAGACAGCTGCACACAAGGAGGCTGGGTATCGGGGTGATGGGCAGCAACAGAAACCCCACGAGGTGCAAGAGACGGCCGTCGGGTTTCGCTCCTTTCACACCAAGGGAAGCCCAGCCTCTGGGTGTCTCTGGGATCTGGACTTTCGATGTCACACATCTCTCCCGTGCTCCTCCGCTTTGCCGAGAGCAGTAAGGAGGCGATGCGACCCCCATTGCCCCTCTGCTCGCTGTTCATGTTGGGAGGCAGGATGCAGAGTGACAAAGTACCTCTCCAGCCACACAATCCATCAGCAGCAAAGGACAAATTAGCATCAGCAATGCAAGAAGCGAGAGGGCAAGACTGAGACATGGGGGTTGCAAGTGCCACTTCAAGGATATGAACCTGCATCATATCACTGTGAATATTTAAGCAAATGCACCCAGGGCTGTGTAATCTGCAAACCTGAGCAGATTGTAAAAAGGGGGATAAAGCGCTTTCTCCCTTGAACATTTAGATTTATCTTCACTTTTCTTTTCCTTGAAGACAGTTACCAGGCTGAGTTTGTATATCTTGTACCCAATAAAGATATTAAAATCCCTTTAATCTACTGCTGCGTAATCAGCAGCTTATTTCGCTGCGGAGGTAAACGGTGCTGGTGTGAGACATTAGCTGTGCATGGCTCGGAGCTCACTGGAAAACATCCTTGATTAGCTGGGAAGTATTCACTGGCATGCACTTGCTGCAGGCTGGGCAGGCTAGCCTTGCCCCATCCCTGGCTGTAAACCAGGTGGCTTTCAGTGTCCTCACACGGGTACCATGGGCCAAGCACAACCTTAGTGACAACCGGCCAGGCACGCTAGGAGGGTGAGGTGTATTTTCAGACTGTCAGCAGGGACGAACCCAGGGAATGGCACTAGAGAATGTGTACGGAGC